ATACTCATTCATTCATTTTCCTTTGGCGTGGTCTCTTCATTCATCAGGAGTCACCACAGCGGAATGAACCCCATTGAATAAAATGATTTTTACGTTAAATAGCTAGCATGTGACAAGCACATTTCGTTTAACATACTAACATTTTTACACTATCACATACTACACAGTAACACTACTGAACTACATTTAAATACATTTATACACTGCTAGCCTAAATTAGCATGTTGCTTGCTACTATGTTTAACACAAAACTAACATTAACGCTTAGACTGGCAGACAGACAGAAAGATAGATATGCATATTATTAGCATGTTTCTATCACAACAACATGCCGTTAGCATGTTTAACATATTGTTGTTTCCAACTTAAATGATCAGGTTGCTAGCAAGATTTAAGCATAATTTAGCATGTTCACTTGTTTCTCGCGTAACTTTAGAAATGTCGCTAGCATGATTTTAGCATGAATTAGCATGTTCACTTGTTTCTAGCATACATTTAGCATGCTTGTAGCATGGATAATCATGTTTCTAGTATGAATTAGCATGTTATACAGTAGAATAGCAGAGGAGAGTCAGTATTTAATGGCTAATCGATGTTTACTGCAGCTGCCTGGGAATAACCACAACTTGCAAAACCCCATTTTCTCCTCAAACACAGTCCAGACAGAGACATTTAAACCTGCTGCAGTGTTTTATGTAAATGTAAAAAATGTAATGTAATGTGTATTTATATAGCGCATTTATTGTGTATGGCCATACACCCAAAGCGCTTCACAATCATGAGAGGGGTCTCTCCACACTACCACCAGTGTGCAGCATCCACTTGGATGATGCGACGGCAGCCACAGGACAACGGCGCCAGTGCGCTCACCACACACCAGCTATAGGTGGAGTGGAGAGACAGTGATCGAGCCAATTCGGTGGAAGGGGATGATTGGGAGGCCATGATCGTAAGGGCCGATAGAGGGACTTTGGCCAGGACACCGGGGTTACACCCCTGCTCTTTCACGAGAAGTGCCATGGGATTTTTAATGACCGCAGAGAGTCAGGACCTCGGTTTAACGTCTCATCCGAAAGACGGCGCCCACTGACAGTATAGTGTCCCCTTCACGTTTACTGGGGCATTAGGACTCACACAGACCACGGGTTGAGCGCCCCCGGCTGGCCTCACTAACACCACTTCCAACAGCAACCTAGTGTTCCCTAATGGTCTCCCATCCAGGTACTAACCAGGCTCAGCCCTGCTTAGCTTCAGTGAGTAACCGGTTTTGGGCTGCAGGGTGAAATGGCTGTGGCAAATAAATTGCATGTGAATCTCCAAAGGCCAGGCATTTCAGAGCTTCCCTGTCCTCCTGCTTTGAAGTTTAGAAGCTGCTCTGTGTTTTGTGCTTTTCTCATTCTCCTTTACATATGCTGTGTTTCTATATGGCTCGTCCAGAGATGTTTAGCGGAGCACAAAACTCAGATGCACCACCGAGAATGTGAATCGGCAACCAATGTTTGACTGAACAATGCCAGACTGCCATGGGGACTGCTCAATCTTCCAGTGGTAATACTTCATATTTTCCTTTCTCTTTAGCTATTTACCACAAATTATTATATATTTTGAAGATGGATAATCTTGAAAATGGTTTATTTAACAGAAACAACAGTTTGAAAAGCTGTAATCTGAGGGTTAAAACAAGTAAATATTGAGAAAGTCACCTTTAAAGTTGTGTAAATGAAGAGCTTAGCAATGCATATTACTAATCGATAATTCTGTTTTGGTATTTAAACAGTTTGAGATGTACAGAATGCTGTCATGAAACTTGGCCTTTATTGTTTTTATCATTAATATCTCATTAAAAGCTGAACAG